ATTGTAAAGAATATTTTAAAGGACACAAATGAACAGCAAGCAAATGTGGAGAACAAGGTTTAGATGGTCCCAGGTACAAGAGCCCCCTTTATGCCTCTGGGATGTTCTGCCCTCTGGACAAACTCACCTTCCCAGAAGCCCCTTGGAAAATCCTTTAGGGGTTGTTATGCAGACATCCTTGTGTAGGCATGATTGATTAATTCATTGGCCACTGGTAACCAGTGAGACCTTTAGAGGTAGAGATGGGCTGAGATTCGCCAACCCTCTGAGCACTTGATTGGTTTCCTGGCTACCAGGCCTCCTATGGTGGGGTTATTGGGTGACTTTCCCAATGTGACCTCATTAAAATAAAACCAGGTGGGTGTGTGAAAAGGGGTATGTTTTGAGTAAAGGAAGACTGCCTTCTTCCTTTGTAGTTCTGGACCTGCTGAAGCTGTGCCAGGAACCAAGAACACGGAAGATTAAATACCTACACTAAAGATGCTCTCAGTGCACTACCCACTTAGGAAACTGTCAGCATTGTGGACAATGTAAAACTGGGACCTAGGACCCAACCCAAAACAAATGAGTCACTTCGGGGCCTCCATTCCTCCCCTAGCCTTCACTACTCAGAACTGTCTGCCTTGAACCTTTGCCTCTGCTGTTGGCCCATGAGGTATAGGCAGCAGCTCCTCTATTATCACAACGAATCTTCCTTTTCCATAGCCAGGCAGACACTCTGTGATGAAGGGCTCTTTTCCTAATATGCTTGGGCTCTGGGTCCTCTTCCGACCCTGGCTTCCGATGTCTTTTTGCTGCCTCTTACCCTGGATGGGCCTCATCAGTCACTATTTTCCTCTAAGGCCCCTGAGCACTTAGAGCAGGTCATAAAACCACGAACATGTTTTCTAGCCTCAGCAGTTCACGAGCAGTTCATGCCAGGCGATCCTTCTCCTCATAACTGCTTTACTTCCTGCTGCATCCCCGAGGCCACTTTTCCAATAATGTCCTCTTTAGTCTGCCAACCCCATACCCTGCACCCCTCACCCCTCCTCCAGAAGCTGCCTCAGTACCTGTGTGCCAAGATAGAAGCCTTTGCATGGGATGCCTCCTCCACCTTCCTTATTTCTTCTTCACTGACCAGTGGGTTCTCTCTGAAAGGAAGTCTGTTTTGTAGCCTGATCCTACATTTGTGTTTTTTGTGGTATTTATTTATTTATTTATTTATTTATTTATTTATTTATGTGCATTGATGTTTTGCCTGCAAGCACGTCTATATGAAGATGTCAGATCCCTTGGGACCTGGAGTTACAGACAGCTGCCATGTGGGTGCTGGGAGTTGAAACCCTGGTCTTTTGGAAGAGCTGCCAGGGCTCTTAACTGTCTCTCTAGCCCCCACATTTGTGTTCTTTGTTCCTACCCCCCATGCTTGGCTAGGGAACTCAGGCCCTATATATTGAAATTCTCAGGTTGTACCTCCCTCCCACCTTCCTCCTTTACTGGGTACTCACTCCCTCTCCCTCTCTCTCTCTCTCTCTCTCTCTCTGTCTCTCTCTCTCTCTGTGTCTCTTTCCCTTCCTTCCCCTCTCTCCCTCCTCCCTTCCTCCCTCCTCCACCTGTGGGTTAAAAGCAGAGCTTTAGGGTTCTCTACCACTATAATCTGGGCCCCCTTTCACAGTTACAGTCAGTGTTTTGGTAGGTGCCCCAGGATGGCTTGAACATGTGATCTTCCTGCCTCAGCTTCCAGAGCACCCATGCTATGGCGGCAGCTGCTTCTTCTTCTTCTTCTTCTTCTTCTTCTTCTTCTTCTTCTTCTTCTTCTTCTTCTTCTTCTTCTTCTTCTTCTTCCTCCTCCTCCTCCTCC